CTGCACTCGCGGCGGTGCCTCCGCCGCCCTTTGCCCCCGCAGCCCTTCCACCCTCTACCTCTGGAGGCGCGGGCGGCGCTGCGGCCCGCGCCTTCGCCACGGCGATGCTGAAGCGGAGCGCCTCCCGCTGCTCCAACGCCGTGGGCGAGGCGTCGCCCGCCGCGACGAGAGCAGCGAGCGCCTCCGCCATCGCCGGCACAGCCTGAGGACGGGAGGAGGGCCGCCCCTCGCTCCTCTTGGTGGGGCGACGGGCCGCCTCACAGTGCGGTGCTCACCTCGGCGCACTCCGCGGCAGGCTGCGACAGGAGGAAGTCGAGCTGGTCCGGCGGGAAGCCTGGCGGAGCGCGGGCCCGCCAGCTCGTCGCAGCGTCGCTCTCCTCCGCTGACGGCGCGGCGGCAGCAGTGGCAGCCTGGCCATGCAGCCACTCCTGCTCGGCAGCGTCCTCTGCGGAAAGAGCCGGTGGCGCCTGGGCTTGCACCTCCGCCGGCGCCTTGCCCTTCTTTGCGCCCACCGCTCGAGGCTGGCGGAAGCGGAGCTCGAGGACCTCGCGCTGCTCCTGCGTGAGCGAGGCGAATCCACGCACCTCCTCGATCGAGGTGAGCTTCCGAGGCACGGGCCAGCACGCAGGGTGGTAGTAGTTCTTCCGCTCCCTATCGTCCTGATCGCGGTACACCTTCCCGACCCGCAGCGTGTCCTTGAGGATGAGCTGCCGGCACTTTTTGCACGTCGACCGCCCAGACTTGGCGAGCTCGACCACTTCGTAGGAGGTGGGCTCTGGCTCCATCATTTGGCTCCACTAGCAGGCTGGCTCGCTAGTCGCTCGCCGGGCCCGCGCCGCACCGCGCCTTTTGCGTTGTGGTTGATAGGCGGCACCTAGGCCCGTGATTTTCTTTTCTTTATTCGCTCTCCTCCTTAAGTTTTGACCCCCCACTAAACGCGCGAGGCGGTGGCGGCGGTGGTGCGGGGGATTGACAGGGGAGGCGGCGGGATTGACAGGGGATGGGGCGGCCACGAGCGGAGCGGCGGCGAGAGGGGGGGCGGCGGCGAGGCGCCAACGAGCGAGGAGCCCGCGCCATCAGAGGGACGCGCCGCTGCGAGATGGAGGGCGGCGGTGATGGAGGCAAGGCGCGAGGAGGCGGCGGCGGCGGCGGCGAGCCAGCGAGCGGACGGTTTTTATTTTTGCCGCTCACAAAATGACTTTTGGCGACCATACCACGACCATACTAGAAACTCGAGACACTTCCCTAACACTACAGGCGACGCGCCGCCTTGGCAGCCGAGAGGCGGTGGTGCATGGCTTTGAGGTACGCCTGGGGTAAGACGCGGTAGTCATCTTTGAACTCGGCAAACATGCTCTTCAGGGTAGTAAGGTTGATTAGCTTCGCTTCCCAAAAACGCATTCTTTGCAGCGGCGGAGGAGGCATTGCTGACACGGTTGCCATGCGAGGTGGATAACGCGGGCGCGTCCACCAGGGAAGCCCGCCTGCCCGCGGTGCAGGTCTCCCACCCTGTAGTCAGTAGTGTAGATGCACATGGCGGATGGGTCGTGGCAAGGATACGGTTGAAGTGCTCGAGGCCCCCGTCGTCTAGTGGTCATACTTTAGCCCGTGCCCCAAGCCGCAGTAGTCGCTTTGGTGCGTTGCGTGCGCAGTCCTTCTTGCCAAGACAGCCCCACCACCGTCCAGCTGGGCGACGTGAAGGCGGCACGCACGGCATCCATGTGAGAGCGCAGCGTCCCCTCTGAGTGAACCTGTAGGGATCCATTCCAGTATCTGCCACTGATTGATTGATTGCCACTGTGCATGTTGATGCTGTTCCCAAGACAGCCCCATTTGCTGCTTTTGCAACCGCAGACGCTCGATGGCGAGTGCCCCAGTAGCACCATTGCCACCCACTTGAGCGTAGTGCAGCCGTTCTTTGGGATGATGCACATGGCCAGCCTGTGCTCTGGCAGCAGCAAGATGCCCTCGCCTGATTTGGGGCTGGCCTCGTGCTTACCAAATGCGGCGGCTCCCAGTGACACGAGAGCATCAAGAGTGTGCGGAGGCGTCAGGCGGCCTCCGACGTCACCGCGGTTCATCGCGATAAGCTCCCCGACAATACTGCTGTTCGCATTGCCCGCCGAACCCCAACTCACTTGTGTGGCAAGCAACACTGCAAGAAGAAGCCTCGCGGGGTGCAAGTGAAGGAGGCCGACGCGCGGCGCAGAGTGCGCGGCGCTCGCCGCTGGAAGCTCCTTGATCGACGGCAGCTCAGCGGTTATACGAGCGGAGGGGTGTTCACGCGAGAACACAGTCGGCAACCCGTGCGCGCGGGGGACGGGGCACTCCCACAACGCACGAGGGCACATAATGGCTAACAGTTCATCATCTAGTCGTCGTACTTCGGCTGACAGAATTTCCGCATCGGTTAACGCAATGAAAGGTTCACTCAGCGACAGGCTGGGTTCATTCATGCCGGATTTGTTTGGCAGGTCAAGCTTGGATGAGCCAAGCTTGACAGCTCTCTCAGAAAAGTCTGTGGCTGACAGAATGTCGGCGGCAATGTCGAGTAGTCCTGAGCACTCCAGAATCACGGCGCTTCCTCTGTTCGTTCCAAAAGATATCGTAGAGGACACCGAGACGGCTTGTGACGTCAAGCGGCCCGTTGCCATCGGCCTCAAGATGTTCTCCGTGTCGAACATCCAGGACCTCAAGCAGACCTTCGAGGCTCAATTTGCACTTGACTTCCTATGGATGACGAAACCTGAGGAGACGTTCTTGCCGCGGCTTGGAATACTCAACTCAGACACCGATGTCATCGTACTTGATCGAGATAAGTCAGAGAGCCCTCAATGGCTGCAATCGACCGAGTCGCACCTGAGATCAAGTGAATCCCTCTCGGAGCATGGGTCCCTCCACTATATGATCATGCGGAAAGTCAAGACAGAGTTGACTTGCAACCTGGACTTCCACTGGTTCCCTTTTGATGTGCAGTATCTGCCAATTCGCGTCCGCGCTCTCAACACCAAGCTAATTGCTACCGACGGGCAGGCACTGGGAGTCGGTTCGGTGCCCCTCCGCCCGTATCGCTTTCTGTTCGGAGTGCAGCAGGGTCAGCAAGACGAGTGGCGGGTGACGTGCAGTCATGTCACATACATGGAGACGACCGAGGCGAGCACCAAGGCCTGGTGCGACGTCTGCTTTTACCTGGAGGCGTTGGCCATCAACCTCTTTGCCCTCCCATTCATGCTGTCGTGCGCGATCTTTGCCACTTCCATGATCCGCGAGACTTCGGGGAACGCCTCAACGTCGATCTCACGATCGTGCTCACGCTCATCGCCTTCAAGCTCATGGTCACCGAGATGGTGCCCAAGGCGTCGTACCTGAGTGCCGCCGAGTGGTATTTGAGCTGTTTCGGCGTGGCCACCTGCATGATCGCCGAACACTGGGGTTTCGCAGCCGCCATCGAGTTCGGAGCGGATGAGAAGTGGACACGGGAGGTGGATCTCTATGCTCACTTGTACAGCTTCTGCATCTTCGTAGCGTGCAACTTGGTGTTCGCGATCTACGTCGCGCGCCATCTGTCCACGGCGGGTTCGGATGCTGCGCGGCTCAAAGCGGTAAGGCGGGGCGGAGCAGTGGATCGGGTGTTCTGGGGCGAATTCGACCAGTCGCGCCTGTTTGGCTCGGCGAAGCACCCCCGAGAAAAGTCCAAATGCTTAGGGGACCCCTAGGCTTAAAAGGGTGGGCCCTGGGGCGCCTGCGGCTTAAACGGCTTAAAACTTGCCTAGGCAAGTTTTAAGAGCTGCTGGGCCGCCGATTCCTTAAACGGTCTTAAACGGTCAAACGACTCGGCAGCCTCCCCGCGCCCTTAAACGCGATCACACCATGAATGGTCTATACTCAAAACTTGCCGACGGGCGGCGAAAGCTCTTCGCTCGGCCCCGAGAGCGCTTCGCTCTCTGCCGCCCGCCCGCCCGCTCGCTCGCCCGCCCGCCCGCCAGCCTCCCCGCGCTTAAACGCTCTAAATGGCTCAAATGGCTCAGGTTGGGCGCGGTGTGCGATTCTCTTAAATGGTCTCTTAAATGGGAGCGGCAGCATGGGCCCAATCTCTTAAACGCACCGAGGCGGCTCTGTAGCCGCCAATCTCTTAAAAGGTCTTAAAAAAATCCGGCCCTCAGAACCCTAGGGGTCCCCTAAGTCCAAATGGGCCCAAATGCGCCAACTATCCACTTGGTTCGCAAGCGTATTGGAGCAATCGAGCATCTGACACCTGCGACTACATGCGACGTTCGAGGCGTGGTGTGGGTGATGCAAATGCAGACGTGCGAGGTGTGATCATGAGATGTGGTTGTCCGTGTACTCGCGGTGAGATTTCTCGTCTCCGGTCTCGTTCGGTTAGACGTTACACCACACCACCGACCACCAGACCACCGCGCACCGGCGACCGCGCGGGCGCGCCGTTGGCAGCCAAGGAGCAAAGCACGCGGCCCTGGCCAGCTGTGGTGTGGCTGGGAAGCCGTGCTAAAGTTGCGTGCCCGCACTAAAGATGCGGGACCCACACTAAATGTACTGCAGCTGCCCGCACCTAAAGTGAACTAAATGTGGCGCTAAGTTGGAGACAAAACACACTAAATATGTGCTAAATATGTGCTAAATATGTGCTAAATATGTGCTAAATATGTGCTAAATATGTGCTAAATATGTGCTAAATATGTACTAAATTTGCGCTAAATTCACTAAAGTTCATTCACACGCACTAAATTTAGACCCAGGCGCCCTCCTTCAAGCAAAGAAGGGGAGGGAGAGAGCGACGCGGCGAGCGCAGGCGGCGAGCGTGCACGTCGCCTGTGCGGCGTCTTGTTCACTCCCCTTTGAGCTACCTTTGTGCCCCCTTAGGGGCACCCCTCTCCTGCGCTGCGCGTATGGTCACCCCTCCCTTCCGCCGGGTTGTTTTCCCTTCCGCCCTGTTGTTTTGGATGCCCCGCTCCGAGAAAGCATGTCTCGCAGCTGCGAGAAAAGACCTTTCGCGTTTGGGTGTTACGACTGCACTCCGCAGCGCTCCAAGTCTCACTCAAACTGACACGGTTCAACACGGTGACAGTCTCGCACCAGCAGACTGGCATGGACTTTGGACTGGCACCACACTGCACACAGCACTCAAATGGCAAAGCATGGTTTCCTAAATCTCAGCTCTCTCTCTCAAAAGGGTACTGACTACTGTCTTCTCAATAACAAGGTCTATGAACACACACACTACGTCGTGGACCGCAAGCGACGCAAGACGCCTGCACCACCTACATTGTCTCGTCCGCCTCCGCCGCTGCGAGGGCCACGCGGCAATTTTGGACGCAGTAACCCTTCCCCCTCGACAGCAGCAGCGCGCCACTGCCGCCCGCCTCGCCGCCGCCGCCCACGCCCTTGACCCACCAACCGTCCGCACGCAGCGTCCCCACGCGGGGCTCCTCGCCCAGCGAAAAGTCGAGGCTCCCGCCGTCTGACAGCGTGCCGTGCACGCGCAGCGCCGCCTCGTCGCCCTCGAGGCTCCCTGCCACCTCGACCACCGCCCTGCCCCGCGGCCGCGCCGACGCCGGCGGCGGCGCCCCGCGTGGCTTCTCCGATCCCGGCACACCCGCCGTCGCCCCGGCCGGTGTCGCCACTGGTGCCGCCGCCGCCGCCGCCGCCGCTTCCGCCGCCAGCTGGAGTCGGTGACCGGCTGGCGGCTGGCTCTGCCCGGGCAGAGGCGCCGACGGAGACGCAACCCACTCGACGCTGTCGCTGAAGGAGGTGTCCGCAGTCACGACGACAAGCTCGCCTACCGCCAAGCGGGCAGAGTGACGCGTTGCGCGCCTCGGAAGTGGGCGCTGGGGAGCGCTCGCCTTGGGCGTGCGGCGCGCGGCAGCGCATCAGCACGGGCGCATCCCCGTGCGGCTGGTGGCCGCACACGAGTGTGTGAACGCCCTGCCGCAGCAGCCACGCCACCACCGCCGGCGCGGGGGGCGCGGGCTGGCCGTCCTCCAGGAAGGAGTCGTACACCACCTGAGAGCCAGTCGCGCCGCGTCTGGTCACGTCTGGCCCCGCCTCCCGCGCGCCCCCCCGGAAGGGCAGCGGGCTCACCGTCGGCGACTTGGCGCCTCCAGGCTGGCTCGCCATGCCATACGACATCAGCCTCCCGCCCGGCCGGTCGAAGAAGCCGTGCCCGAGCCGGTCCTCCCTCCCAGGCCACGTCGGCCCGGCGGCGGCGTCGCCGTCCGCGCACCACTCGTCGACCTCCGAAGCCGCGAAACGGTTCATCGCCTCCACCCACGCCACCACGCCCTCGCGCGCCCCCGCGCCCTCGCCGCCCTCACGGCCGGGCACCGACCCGACCGCGTCGGGCTTGAGGCCACCGTGCACGAAGAGCGTGCCGCCGATCAGCGCACAGAGCTGGCCCGCTTGCAGGAAGGAGCGCAGCGCGCCGCCCCGCTGCAGCGAGCCGGCGAAGCTGCGCAGCACGTCGCGGTCGCTCAGCGCGCCGCTCTCGACGCCGCGCGCCGCCGCAAGCTCGGACCTCCGGAGCTCGAAGGCGCGCGGCGAGCCCATGTTGTCGCTCAGCATCCACCGCAGCCTGCTCGAAGGCTCGTCGGCTAGAGGCGCGGCCTGCGCCGCCAGCCAGCCCGCAGGCGTCGCCGTCGCACCCGAGCGGCGCCAGTACACCCCCGGGTGCGCGGCGGCGGGGAGCCAGAGCGCGGAGGGCGGCGGCGCCAGCTCGGCCGTCAGGCGCATCTTGTTGATGTCGCGGTTGCCGAGCAGCAGGTGCACGCGGCTCGGGTGCCGGCGCTTGAGGCGGAGCAGGCTGTCGAGAAAGGCCAGGTCGCCGCCGCCCTTGTCGACGCTGTCGCCGCCAAAGACGAGGTGGCATCCAGGCCGCAGTGCTAGGTCGTCGAGCGCGCGGCCCGGCTCGAGGACCGCCGAGAGGCGGCAGTAGCTCTCCCAAAAGGCGGTGTCGCCCTCGACGTCGGTCACATAGCCCCATGTGGGCGCAGCGCGGCCGGTGGCGAGGCGTGCGGCGTGACGCAGAGTGCGAGGAGTCGCGACACAGGCGGCGGCGAAGCTGGAGAGGCGGCGGTGGCGCATGTAAACGCACGCACAAACTGCTGCTCGCCCAAACGGCGCTGTTTCCGGTTTTCTTCTTTTGCTGAAGTCAAAGATGTGTTCTCACCTTTCTACCTACCTACTGTTCTCTCTCGAGGTTCTCGAGGTGGATATCCTTTGGCCGCGTCGGGTCTTGTGAGCCTGTTTGTGTCTGTTCGTGCGTGTCGTCATCATCTGTCTAGCGTCCACCCATGCCGCGTTGGTTGGTGTCCAGTCCGAGCCTGGCTGTTCTTCACCTTTCTACCCACCTACCTACAAAGAATTTCAGAACGTAAAAGGGCACGAAACTGGCGCGCACTGGCCACTGCCCCTGCGCCCTGCCTGGCCTTTTGCAGGCCAGGTAGCGCAGTGAAATTCTTTTTTGTTTGTTTATTACCGCGGACCTAAGTCCTAACTGTCAGGAGACGGAACACGGAGGAGCTGTATAGGTCACTAGAGACCCACACCATCGCTACATCACCACAGCCACCAAGTCGGATACAAGTCGATGACAATGTGGTATGTGCGCGGCAGGACAAACCAAACATGAGACACGGTTACACAAGGACGGTCAGGCTACGGTCAGGAAGTAGGTTTGAGTTCACACTCTCCAACACTCCCCCATTGTCTCCGCAGTCTTCATGAATGAGGATGCGGCAGACAACAACAGCAGAGTGTGAATGTGTCTGAGCGTAGGTATGCCGGTTACCCGCCGGCGTCTCGCGGGGCTGGCTAAGCGTCCAACCTTGCGTCTTCGCGAAGGATGGTCTTGCTTGTTGGCAAGACTTGCGCGCTAAGATGATCCAGTGAAGGGGTCAAAGCGCGGCCGAGTGGGCGGAGAGAGAGAAAGGGGAGATAATGAACAGGAGCTCGTTGTGGAGCTCGGTCATGGCGCGCCGCGAGCTGCAATCCGGGCTGAGCGTCGCGGGGCGGCGGCTTGAGCGGGCGCGGCGGGCGCGGCGGGCGCGGGAGCGGCAGCGGGGGCGCCCCCTTGCGGCGCGGCGATTGGGCCGTTGGGAGGCCTCGCCGCGTTGACGCGGATGAGCGCATCAGGGACGTGAGGACGATCTTCAATGTCCCGAACGTTGATGTTGCGCCACGGGCCGCCGAGGACGGTGAAGGAGAGCTCGTCGAAGGAGACATCGGCTGTGTAGATGATGCGCCGGACGGCGGGGGTGTAGACGAGGTGCTTGGAGCGTCGAGGGTCGTGGCCGAGGTTGATGCCCTTGAGACGAGCGGGGGTAAGGTTGTGCCCGCGAAGCGACTCGGGGAGGACGCAGGTGAGTCGCAGAGCATGACCTTGAAGCGTTCGAGGCTGTACTCGCGAGGGTAGCCGATGGCGATCTGCATCGGTGACAGCCACCGAGGCTCAGCGCTGGTCCCCCTGTTCGTCTGCAGCAAGTTGTGGACGCGGGCGAACTGGTTGAAGAGGAAGGGCCAGAACTGAACGTGCTCCTTGTCCCCCCCAGCATGAACGAGAGCGGTGCGCGTGCATTTGAGGAGAGTCCCCCAGCAGCGCTCGGCGACGGCGTTCCCCTCGTGGATGTCGGGAGAAGAGAAAAAGTGCTGGATGGCGAGGACGGTGCAAAGTTCGTCGATCAGCTCGGACGTGAAGTAGCTGGCGTTGTCGGTGAGCCACTCGTCGATGATGCCAGGTCTGCGCGTCTTGGTGAGGAGATGAGCATGGTCACGGAGGAAAGCACGGACTGCGCCAAGGATTTCGGCGGAATCGCCCTTCTCCCCAGGAAGTAGACGGCGATGACGCCGGAGAAGTAATCGACGAAGTTGATGGCGTACACGAACTTGTGAACGCTCCAGGGCAGAAGCTTGATGGGGCCATTGAGGTCGGACGCGACTCGCTCACCAAAGTACGTGTAGACGCGACGGTTGGTTGGGTGACTCGGATGGCCCTTGCGGCGACGATTGAGGAGACACGCGTCGCAGATGCAACGATCACTGCCAGGGCGAAAAGCGTAACCTTTGTAGCGGAGTGCACCAACCACCCTGTCTCTGCTGAAGTGGCCCAAGCGGGCATGCCAGAGCAAGAAATCGTCGTCAGTCGGAGTGGAATACTCGTCGACGATCTTAAGCAGGGTGGTGTCGAGTGCATCGAAGACCTCGGGGACGGAGGTTCCGAGGACGGGTGCATCGATGGCGAAGGCGTCGGAGATGGCAGGCTCAGACTCAGGCGTCCAGACGGCAGAGACGCTCGTAGAGGCGCATTGGACTTCTTGCCAGAGGCGTTCGACAGCGGGACGGGCTAGCGCGAGGAGGCGAGACGAGGAAGAGACAGCAATGAGGTAGAGTGGCATTGCCACGTCGAACAGATGCCCAACACTCCCCCACGACGTGGTAATCGCCACACAAGGCAGAGAGGGCGTGTCGATCGTCGCGTGTTCATCGCGTACAGCTCCGGTCGTGTCGAGCGGCGACGTCGGAAGTAGCGGCGGCGAAAGGCAGGGTCCACATTCGGTGCGAGATCTTTGCGGCAACTGCCGTTGCAGCAGCCCGAGAGCTGGTAGCGGAAACAGCAGCTGCGATGGTGGTCCGTAGGCGAGGAGAACGGACCGGTAAGGAGAAGAAAGAGGGGATACTCGTGTCCACACAGCCGCAGTGCTGGCGGAGATGCGCTCTGTCGCAGAAGATCCGCAAGCACCCAAGTTGATGTTGCGGTTGTACTCATTCTGCTCAGCCTCCGAGCCAAGCAGTTGGCGGCCGCTGTGCCACCGTGCGCCGAGCCTCTGTGCCCAGCCAATCACCACGGCTCGCGCAGGTGCCCATGGTGCCAGCCAACGTATCGAGCGTAAGCCGGAAATGCTGTGCGGCAACACATCTCGCTTGTGTGCCGCACCAGCTCTCATGTCGGCCTCAGTGCCGCACTGCTCACTCCGTGCACTCACCGGTCGGTACCATGTCAGGAGACGGAACACGGAGGAGCTGTATAGGTCACTAGAGACCCACACCATCGCTACATCACCACAGCCACCAAGTCGGATACAAGTCGATGACAATGTGCGCGGCAGGACAAACCAAACATGAGACACGGTTACACAAGGACGGTCAGGCTACGGTCAGGAAGTAGGTTTGAGTTCACACTCTCCAACACTAACCTAACCTAACCGCGGAAATAGAACGAAATCACGCCAACACTGTTGGCCGCACGGGTCGACGACCTGCTCGCGAAGCCAAAGACGGTGCTAGAGAAGGCCAGCAAGGAGAGCCTGAAGCAGCTCTGTGAGGCCTTGCCATTGCGCGTGAAGCTTCCCTCGGGTGCAACCAACGCGAGCGTCGCAGAGGTGAGGAAGCATCTCGTAGCCCGGCTCCACGACGTCCGACCGCTGCAGCCGCAGCCGCAGCAGCGGGCGCAGCCGCAGCCGCAGCCGCCACGGCCGCCGCCACGGCCGCCGCCACGGGGGCGGCCATGCCGCAAGTATCGTCTCAACGACCCGCAGCACTTCAAGCGCTTTGCTCACCCAAGCGGAGCAAGAGCGACGGCAAGACCTGCTCGTGCTCGCGCTGCCAGTCGGCCGCGGAGGCGGCGCGCGTCGAGAGCGATCGGATTGCGGCCGAGGCTGCCGCCGCGGAGCCGGCGCACGCCAACGTCAGCAACTACACCGCCACGGAGGGACTGCAGAAGCTCGAGCAGGCGGAGATGGCGGTGACGGCGCAGAAGGCAAGGCACGGCGGCGACGAGGCCGCTGGGGCAAAGGCGCTTTACCAGCAGTCCAAGCTCAAGGTGGACGAGAAGCTTGAACAGTTTAAGGAGAGGGAGCACATCGAGGTGGCGCCCGTCTACCTCGGCGACATCCACCGGCCGGAGTACGCCAACCTGAAGCAGACGATCACGACCGGCAAGATGCAGCGCATGATCGAGAAGGAGTTTCACACCATGTTGGAGCGCACCTTCAAACACCACCCTCTCAAGGAGTACTTTGAGCCGCGCAGCGACGGCAAGCAGGGCTACCAGCCAAAGACGGTCTCGCAGGGCCTTGCCGGAAACCGGAAGGAGACGATGTTTGACATCGACCACGTGGTGCCGGACAACTGGGGCGGCATCAACCACCCGCGCAACATGCATAGTCTGAGGGTTAGGTTTCTGGAGCCTCGGGTGCTTTTACGCTTTTGATCGGGTCAGGGGAGAGTGCGACTTTTACCACTTTGGTCGTCTCGGAGCGCCCCACTGTGTGCATTTTTCAAAAAAATTCTTCGGCGCTGCGCGCCCCGGGTCGTGCAGTAAGTACTAGCTGTCGTCCCGCAAACGGCAAAGTAGTTCCCGCACACTATGGCTAGAAAAATGCTGCCGCTCGCCTCGAAAGCGCCCGCCGGTGTGTGTCCAAACATTTGGATTGCGCCGCGGGCGCCGCCGGAGAGTAGAATGTCCAAAATTTTCGCGCGCCTGCGGCGCGCGACTTTTACCATTTTGCCCCGGGCGGGCCCACTTTTGTCGTTTTGCCCCAACTCTACGCCTAGGCGTGCTTTTAGCGTTTTGATCCAAATCGGCCGAACTTTTAGGATACCCTCAGACTATGGCAACATGGTGTCGGCAGATCTGGCAAGTGGGTAGGAGCTGGGTGGAGGCGATTGGCGAGTTTGGGTACTACATGCGCGACTGGTGGCTACTCAACCCTGAGTACCGATGTGCACACACACAAGATACACACGTTTACATGCATGCCCAATTGGCCGGCCAAATACACACCATCCACCATGTCTGGCTGCGGCAGACGACTTTCTGGACGACCGCGAGGCGGCGCAGTTCGTGCAGGAGCACGCGACGAGCAACGAGAGCATGGCTTATGATTCGCTTCTCGTCGGCGCACAAAGAACCGACTTGCTGCGCATGCTACTCCTCAAATACCGCGGTGGGGTCTACGCCGATCTCGACGCGAAGCTGCTCGCTCCGCTCCGCACCATCGTCCCACCACGCGCTTCGTCCGTGAACGGTCGGTTTTGGTGCGCAAGCAAGCCTGCGATCTCGCATTCCATCCGTACGCACGTGCACGTTCACGCGCACGTGCACGTGCAACGGCAGCATGGGGAGGTCCACTTGCCGCCCACTCACTTTACGGCGGATCCGCACAGGTCGTCGGAGATGCTCGCATACGAGCCGATGCACCCCTTTCTCCTCCGCGCCGCGGAGATGATCACGGCCGGTGTGCTGAGGCAGGTGCTGCTGCACAGGGAGGGCGACCCGGCGAGGTGCAATGCCCCGGCGACGTGCGTGATCTACGTCACTGGCCCGGTCATATACCGGGGGGCAGTCGATGCGGAGCTCGCCGCCAACGGGTGCGGTTATCGCGGATCGCGCCACTTCCGGCACTGCCGCGCCAGCGAGGCCATCCGCCGGACACACGTGTGCCGCTCCGACAACGGCACCGTCTACCTGCCGTGGATATGCGGTGTCGTACGGCACTTTGATTGCCGCAACAACAACAGGGGCTGCGCAGGCCCGGCGTGCCACATGAAGATGTACTCCTCGGGCTACCAGAGCGCGAAACACCGCGCCTGCCTGCCTGGCCACTATATGTACGCGCAGAACTTCTTCAACTTGTCAGTTCTCCGCGACGGCCGCGCGACCGCCGCACGACCGCTGCGCCGCTGCCAAAACGAATATTCATCACACGCCGAGTGCAAGGCAGAACGCAAGGAGCTAGCTGCACGCGCAGGGACACAGGCGATGTTACCCTAGGGACGCAAGGATGACACGCACACGCTCACTCACACTTTAAAGTTGTGATGGAATCGCCGGGCCCGACAACCTCAACGCCGCACACCTCCAAGCAGGTGACGAAAACTCAATCCTCGGCCTCGCTCCGTCCACGGCAGTAAGCTAAGATGTTCTTCACATTCTGGACTGTGGCCACAGCGGGGTTGCCAACGTCGCCCGAGAGCCAAACCTGTGATTGCGGTACACGCCGGCCGCCAGGTAAATTGCCGTGTTGTCGCCGGCCACCTTTAGCGCATTCATGATGCTTCGACGCCTTCTTCGAGCACGGCCAAAGACGTCATACCCGGGTATGCACTTGTGGTGAAAGGCGGTGACGACAGGCGAATTGTGCACGGTGCTAACCGCTAAACCCCCAACCCCAGTAGGAGCGCTGCTCTCCAGTCTCCAGGCTTCAGTCGCAAAGAGATGCATGCATGCCGCCGAAGGCCCGAAGGGAGGCGCTGTCGAGGTTCGTCTCGCGCGGCGCCGGTTGAGCTTGAGGGACACCGTCACCGACGAATGCGTTGGACTTTTCCCACACTTGCCCGGAGCGGACAAGGGACCAAAAAAACCCGCTGCGCACGCGCAGCGGACGGCGGTACGGGCACGGTGCAGACTGCACTCGCAGTAGTTTGCAGGAGGCTCTCAAAAGGATTGAGGTGTCGTTCTAGTAAGAAACGTTCAACACACTCGGTGCACTCGGTGTCGAAACACCTCTCCGACGCGCTCGACTATAGTCTAGGCACTTGATGCAGCTAGCAACGGGCGCCGGTTGAGCTTGAGGGACACCGGTTGATCCCTGATCCCTCGGCCACATTTGCCCGAAGCGGACAAGGGTCAAAAAACCCGCTGCGCACGCGCAGCGGACGGCGGTACGGGCACGGTCGCTAGCACGGACCAACGGTCGACGGTGCAGACTGCACTCTGCAGT